ACTGAGCCACCGTGCCGCCCCTGAGTGCACCTTTAGTGTGCCGATTATATATTGTATCACAGCGGAGCTGAGGGCGAACACAATCACTGACCTCTGACCCTCAGTGGAGCGAAACAAAGAGCTGAAATACACTTCAGATAACAGCAAACACACACCTGTAAACACACACACACACACACACACACACACACACACACACATTATGATGAGTTCATCTTCATCGCTGAAGTCAGAATCTGAAATAAACACACACTAATGCACACGTGTACAGGAGATATTCAGGGTTCACACACATTTTACAAAGACTTTTCCAAAACTTTCAAGTCAATTTTCATGACTTAATGCATCATGCAATGTCCAAATATGCGTGTTAAAAGAAAAACAAAGCATGTTCAAATTTATTACAGCATATCATAAAACACACAGTGATCTATTCAGCTTCAATTTATATTTATATCCATGTAAAATTGGTTTAGATGAGGCTCACGCTGCACTAATAATGTGAGAGTACATCAATCACCAACGACAGTAAAGAAGTAAATAACCCATAATCAAGCACACAGATATCTGTTTCCCACAACTTTCCCAGGCCTGGAGAATGGCATATCAAAATTCCATGACTTTTGCAGGTTTTCCATGAGCGTATGCGGCCTGTATATATACGGCATGTGAAGATGAAGGGCTGGATGTGTTGTTCAGTCAGTGAGCTGTTGTCCTCCTCCAGCACAGTAAAGGTCAGCTCCTCCTCAAAGCTCCTCCAGTGCTCACACACTCCTCTCTGCGCTCATGATGAGGCAGAACTCACTCACTAACACCAATCCTGCACACAACTGACCTATAAACTCCACACTGACCATTACTCCACCTATAAGCTCCACACTGACCATTACTCCACCTATAAACTCCACACTGACCATTACTCCACCTATAAACTCCACACTGACCATTACTCCACCTATAAGCTCCACACTGATCATTACTCCACCTATAAACTCCACACTGACCATTACTCCACCTATAAACTCCACACTGACCATTACTCCACCTATAAGCTCCACACTGACCATTACTCCACCTATAAGCTCCACACTGACCATTACTCCACCTATAAGCTCCACACTGATCATTACTCCACCTATAAGCTCCACACTGATCATTACTCCACCTATAAGCTCCACACTGACCATTACTCCACCTATAAACTCCACACTGACCATTACTCCACCTATAAACTCCACACTGACCATTACTCCACCTATAAACTTCACACTGATCATTACTCCACCTATAAGCTCCACACTGACCATTACTCCACCTATAAACTTCACACTGACCATTACTCCACCTGTAAGCTCCACACTGACCATTACTCCACCTATAAGCTCCACACTGACCATTACTCCACCTATAAGCTCTCACTGATCAT